TCCTCACCATCGTAGAAGATGATGATGCCGCCATATCACCAAATGTTCAAGACGTGGCTGTTGTGTTGGAGGGGGCCGTCGTGCTGCATGACCTACCAGACCTCTGAACTGCTTTTGCATAACTCTTTGGCCTTCTGTATGCCATGAACATTGAATATCCAAAGTAGATGAGGTATACCTTTGAAGCAGTCCAGACTATCTTTTTCGAGCTTGGCTCTCGATGCTCACAGGGCACGAGATCTCTGAAAACAAAGCTTTTGCTGTGAATGTTTATGGGGAAACCAGAAATGACTTTAACCTTAGTTTAACCTGTTCGTGTGCATTGTGGTTAGTGCTCATGTTAAGTTTCACAGCCATTCAGCCAGTCATTTCAAGCATGCATGTCCCCTCTGGCTCTGAGATTGTTGAAATTTGTGTCATTTGCCACTTTACAGGAGGCACATAACCAGTGTTTTATCTGTTCAAATTCATTGTGAGTGTTTACACAGCTTTTAATTGGTGTATTCTTTTGTGGTAAGTGCTCATTTAAAATATCACTGTATGGCTACACTTGCACATCTGATTTCAGTATGTTTGTTTGAGGCATTGTCAGTAGCTATTTCACATAAAGCTCTGGATTTTAGTGTTTGAGGCCCAGTGGGATTTGTCACTATATTCAGTCATGGACCTTTTGTTTACGGTCAACAGTATAGTTATGTGACAAAATGTTTAATCTTTGTGTATATTGCACATTGAGCCCAGATTTACCTCATGTCCAGGAGATGTTTATTTGAAACAATAAACCTGGTTTCAGCTACTCTTCAGCTGTGTGCTCTTAATTTCATTTAGTCATTTATTTATGTAGCATTCCTTAAATACCATTAAATCAACATAAATTTTACTTAAAAGGGCTGAGTTTTAGACTCAGAATTGTATGTTTATACAACAAGGAAATCTGTGTCTATTGAACGTGGAAATGCATGGCATTGAAGCAAGAATTTCATTGTTAGCCTGACAGGAATATCTTAATTAGGTGAACAAGAAAATCCAAGTTGGCAGAACTCTTTCCTAAACCTAAGTAAAGTCAACAACAGGAGTCAAAAGTTGAGAAAACTCAATCTATTGCATCATGTTGCCTTGATAATTTGAGTTTTCTTAAGGTTTTCTTTTTTTACAGTGTTTTTCCATTCAAGTTTTTCTCTGCAGCTGGATTTTTGTAACATTCTGGTGGACAAACACACAACTTGGAGAAAGTTCAACGTTTTTCATCCTTATGAAAGCCTGAACAACAATCTGCAGAACATCTTGCATCTCAGCTGGATTCTCTCCAAAGATGTTGATCAGTGTCATGTTTCCCAGACCAACAACAAATGTTGCCAGTTTATTGTCGTGGTGAAGACTGGTGTTACCCTCCAACTCAAGAGCGCGCAGTCCTTCAGTGTCCACCACTAGAATGTAGTCAAAGTGAAAGTCTTTCTTGATCTCATCTGAAACTTTGACCAGCTGCATGAAGGCACCCTTGGTGCACCTGCCAGCACTCACTGCAAACTGTAACCCAAACATGGCATTCAGCGTTGTTGATTTTCCACTGCTTTGTACACCCAGCACTGACAAAACAAAAACTCTCTTGTCGCCCAGTTTCTTGATGACCTCATCTAAAAGACTAGAGATCCACGTTGAAGGCACATGACCTGCATCACCATCCATCAGCTCCATTGGGTGTCCTGATATCATCAGCTCTGCAGCCAGCTCAGGGTATTTAGACCAGTCAGTTTGTCCCCTTGTTGTTTGTTTCTGCAGAGATGCATGGGCTTCATAGATCTGTCCCATTTCTCTAAAGATGTGCTCCAAGCCAAAAGTGGCAGACTGTAGTTTTGTTGATATTTGCTTGCTTTTTAACAGATCTGATTTGTCATGTTTCTCCTTCAAAGCCAATACCTCAGACCACTTTTCATCATAGCTTTGTAAAATTAAAGACAGATCATCTGTGGAGAGGGCATCAATCAAAATCTAAGTCCACTTCAGGAAATACTCTCTATCTGTTGATGGCAATGACGAGAGGGTTTCAATGAACAACTTCATTGGTTTACTACAGGAAGCAGTGCATTGATCTTGTTGTATCTGCATCAGTTCCTTTTGCTTTTTACATTTCTCCTTCTCAATGTGTCCTTTGAGGTGATACAGTTCTTTGTTTATTCTGCACCACTTGTGCCACAGCTGGCCTTGACAAGGGAGGAATGTATCTTTGATCTTTGACACATCCATCCTCTGAAGGAATTTCACAATTTTCATTGCAGCAGATTTTCCCTTTTGGCAGACGTCATCTTCATCCACTCTGATTCCAGAGACTTCAGCCATGGTTTCAAGCTGGAAGGATGCATGTGGTCCTGACAAAATTCTTCCAATGGTTTTTTTCAGTTCTTCAGACACATCTGACTGACTTCTGTCTCGAGGACCCATTTTGTATTTTCCCTCTTTCATCTCAACTGCACCACCATCACTATCAGCAGTGAGACATATGATAGGCTTTGGAGACTTGAGAAAGGCTGAGATAACTGTGGTACTTTTGTCCCCTTTTCCCAGAGTTGGTACAAGAACCACATTGATTGAAGATTTCTCAGTCAGTATGTCACACTGTTTTTCAATTGACAGAGCATCACCATGAAGATTACAGAAGGCAATGCAGTCAGTGAAGGCATCATTAGGTTTTCCTGCAGGGCAGTACCAGGCAATCTCTGCCACACCATCCATCAGATGGCGAGACTTGGTGCTACCTGGGCAGTTTCTGTGGGAGAAGATGCTGTGATGGTCGTTGTGACTTAGACAGAGATAGTGAACCCAGTCGGAGAAATGACACCATGGGTGTCTCAGCTTTGCAGATGGGCATGCTCTTCATGGTGACAATGTTTGAATTATCTTTGATTTCAGTTACCTTCCATGTTTTTCTTATTTGTCTGAAAGTCCACAGAGGACATTCAATATCCATTGTGACTGGGTCAGGAACAAGCAAAGGTAAGGCATACTGACATTGTGATAGCTTTGTAGTCATATTCTGCTTCAAAAAGCTGTCTGAGCAGTGAAATACTGCCATCTGAACATCCATTGGATGCACGAGTCTGTTTTGATTGATCAAAGTCTACAGTGGTGCTACAAAAAACACTGAAGTCATCGCCTGTATTAACAGTGTCCAATGCTAGAACAGACTTTGAATGGGTCACCTCATCACTATCCTGTCTTACAGGAATATATCTGGCTCTGTAGCCTAACATCATCAACCTCTGAAGAAAAGTATGTGCGAGTTCTTTCTCAGATGTTTCATGGTCCTGTTTCACAGGTGGACCTGCTGTAAGAAAATGTGCTGGTGACAACTTCTGTTTATGTTTATCTTGAAGGTGAAGTCTGCCAAGCAGTGTTTCAGTTTCTCTTTGATGTTGTAGACAGTATGTAGAAAATTGTGATGCCATACAATGAAGTATAAAGTAAATAATCCTTAACATCTAATGAATTAAATAGGTTCTTACCTTATCCTTGTTTCCACTCATATCCATATCTAAGGTACCTGCAGAGGAATAATGTAACGTATGTAATGTATTACATGAAGGTCAGAGCAATATACTTTTATAGTTTTATGCTGTTATGTATGTATATATATATATATATATATACAGTACAGGCCAAAAGTTTGGACACACCTTCTCATTCAATGCATTTTCTTTATTTTCATGACTATTTACATTGTAGATTCTCACTGAAGGCATCAAAACTATGAATGAACACGTGGAGTTATGTACTTAACAAAAAAAGGTGAAATAACTGAAAACATGTTTTATATTCTAGTTTCTTCAAAATAGCCACCCTTTGCTCTGATTACTGCTTTGCACACTCTTGGCATTCTCTCCATGAGCTTCAAGAGGTAGTCACCTGAAATGGTTT